GATAAACGATCATTATTAGATGTATTGTATTATAAATAGGTATTAGGAAAAGATGATTCATTTCTTTTTGAAAAAAACTATAAAGCAACAAAAATTAATGAGACAAAAAATATAATCAATACATTAAATAATTATTTGTATAAAGAGCCTAGAAAAAAAGCAATGATATCGAAAGAAAGATTACAAAAACATAAAAATTTTAGAAAATTAAGAAAACATCCAATGATATTTGTTTCAGCAAGTATATCTTGGGATAATCCATTTAAGTTCTCTGTGGAAAAAATAAATGTAATAGCAAGTATTAAAGTTATTATCGATCAATATAAAAACTCATTAGCAAATATTCTTGATATTACACAAAAAAATATTGATATTATACAACAGAGTTTATCAGATATGATGTTTGACTATAAAACAGAAAATGAAAAAAAAATTTTTAGATGTTGTAACTGAGGTGTTGATAAATGGTGAAGAAATTGAATATATTAAAGAAGAAGAGATAAAAAATATGTTTAATTTATTTAATTTTAATTTTTAAATATTTAATACATATAATATAATAATAATAAATAAATAAATAATAATATAAATTAACCAAAAGTTTCAACTAATTTTTCTAAAGTTAAAGTGGTATCAGTTGTATCAATAATTTCTGATTTTAATTTATCTATATGAATGTTAATTTCATGTAAAAGATTTGGAGGCATTGATTTAACAAGATTAACAAGTTCTGTAATATTAATATTAATATCATTTAATTTTTTTTCATTATAGAATTTTGAGTTTTCAAAAGTTCATTTTTTTTATCGATTTTTTCTTTTTCTTTTTTTAATAAATTATAGTTAGTTAAAAGTTTATTATGATCAGTTTTTAAAGATTTACTTTCTTTAATTAAATCATTTAAATCTTTTAAATTTTTTTTAATTTTGTTAGTATTTTTATGTGCTTGATCATATTTTGCTTTTAACAATTTATGATCTTTTTTTAGTTTTTTAATTTCATCATTTTTTTTCTTTAATAAATCATTTAAATCACCAATTTTTTTATTATACTTATCTTCAAGGTTTTTAACAATTTTTTCTAATTCTTTTTTCTTTTTTTCTTCATCTTTAAGTTGAGTTTCAAGTTTTTTATTTTTATCGATTAATTCATTTATTTGTTTCAATAGATTTTCTTTTTCTTTTTGAGTGATTTTTTTAGTTTTTTTATGTGCTTCTCTTTCTTTTTTTTTAATTTTTTCTTTTCAGTTTTGTAAAAATTTCTTGTTTCTTCATGACGGAGTTTTTCCAATTTTAATTTTTCTTTGGTTTTTTGGTGTTCTAAAGATTCATCATTAAATTTTTTTAACATTTCTTGATATTTTTTAGCATATTCATTTTTTCTTTTAATCATTTCATTTAATTTATCATTTGTTTCTTTAGATTAATCTTTTAGTTCACTAATTTTTTCATTATTGTTTTTGTTAATTAAACTGTTTTTATGGTTGTTTAATATTTTTTGTAAGAGTTTTTCAAACATTTCTTCATATTTTACTTTAAAATTGTCTTTTTCTTTGATTGTTTTTTTAATTTCATTTTTGGCATCTTTATAATCTTTTCTTGCTTGTATTGTTAATTTTTTGATTTCATTATCTTTTGTTTGTAAAAGCAATTCACTTTTATAATTGTTTAGAATTTTTTTTTGAAGATCTTTAAATGTTTTTTCATAGTTTTCTTTATTTTTTTTGCTTCTTGAGTTTTTTTATTTAGTTTTTTATTAGTATCAATTAATGATTTTTTAGTAATTGCATGAGCTTTAGCTTTATTCAGATATTGTTCATGTTCTTGTGTTAATTGTTGTTTTAATTTTTCATTTTCATTAGCAAGTTTAATAAATTGTTTGTACAATTCATCAAGTTTAAATTTAGCACATTATATTTTTTTATTTCTTCTTGAAGTTGTAATTCTTTTTCAGTTAAAAGTTTTTGTAATGTTTGATATAAAGTGTTTGTTCAATTATATAAATTTCTTACATTATTGTAAGATGTATTTATAGTATTAATTTGAAATTTTAAATTGTGCAAAGTGTTATTATAAGCATTAGCATTGGGTCTACGATAACCAGATGTATTATAATATTGATTAGTTTTATTGTAAAGTCTAGTACTAAAGAGACATGTAGCTGCCCATCCAGTAACTAAACCTACAAGAAAACAAAGAACCATATTGATAGAATTTTAATTATTAAATTTCTTGAGTATAAGAATAATAAATTAAACAAATGAGAAATTATTAATGAATTTAAATAGTTTATAGTTTATTTATATTATTAATATAAAATAAAGTTTAATATCATTTTAGATATAAAAGAAACATGTTTGTATTTTAAGCTTTTATTAAAAATGTTGTCTACATTAAATTTACAAACACCACATCCTGATCCTGTTGTTTTAACTTATACTCAAAATCAAAAACAAAGAATTGCTGAATCTGTAGCTAAAATTGAAGTAATTTTAAAACAAAAAGATAATGAATTAAGAAATCAAAAAAAACTCTATGATGATTTATTAAAGACTTTAAATGATATTGGTCCTATTGTTGAAAAAGTTGTTAAAGAAGCATTACAAAACTTGAATATTGATAATGATTTAAAAGAAATTAATGATGCACTTAAAAAAATTGATAATGAAGATTTGAAAAAACTTATTAATGATAAAACAGAAGAAATTAAAGCAAAATTAGATGATTTTCAAGTACCACCTCTTATTGAAGCTGATGATATTGCTACTTCAATGAAACATCTTGCCAATTAATATCAATCTAATCTTGATACTATAGGAAATGGAAGTGGTTAACAAAAAAGAAATAAAATTAAGCAATCTTTCAAAAAAAACTAAAAAAAATATTACTATAATATGTTATCGTATAATTGATATTATTATTATAACAAGTATTTTTATTATAGTAAATTTTGTATTCAATAAAAATATAAAATGTATAATTTTTTAGTTTATTTGTACTACTTTAATTTTATATAAATAAGATGTATTTACTTATCTATATTTTTAAATAAAAATGATTGCTCCAATGTTTATTTATGGTGTTTTTCATCTTCATTGCATGATTATGCGATGTATCAATATATATCATTGGATTCTTTTTTTTAATGTATATTATTATGAAGTTATAATTTACACTACAAGCTTTGTAAGTTTATATTATGTATTTATATAAATTTTAAGTTACTTATATAATAAACTTTGTTTTTAGATAATGATAACATTATTTATTTGGATAATTAAAGTAAGAATGTGTTAATAATGTTTTTTAATACTATAACTAATTTTATTTTTTTTTTATATAGTTTTTTATTATGATTTTATATATTTATATTATATGTGGTTTATTAAATTTATATTTAAAGTATCATTTAGATTACGTTAAAATGAGTTATTATTTAGTTTTGAAAATTAAGAATTACTATAAATAAACTTCTAAAGTTTTATTTTTTTTTTAATCATATCTGATAATGAAAATATATCAAGTAGTTCTAAAAATAAAGAACATGATACTGCATCAGAAAGTTCAAATAATAGTGATTTGAAAACAAAGAAAATTATTTTAAATATATGATTGAAAAGATACGTAAAGCAATTGAAAACAAAAAAAATATAGATTTGGATAAAACAATAAGAATACTAAAACAAGTTAGCAATTTAACAATAACCAATTATATAGAGTTTATGATAAACAAAATAAACCTATTAATGCATTAAAATTGATTAATTTAAATTTAGCATGTAAAGTACAATATTATAAAGGATGTCTTTGTGAAGAATTGATATGAATAATTAAAGAATGGTTTAATGATTTATTTGATATATTAGTGTTTTTTGTTTTAGAATTAAAGTATATAAAAAAATTGATTATATTGATAAGAAATATGATACCAGTATTTATTTTAAATATACTTAATACAATACATTTTTTTGAAAAAATACATCCTAGAAATTGGATATTTGTACAACATTTTTTTACAAAAATAATTTTACTGTTAGTATTTATAGTATTGTATTTACTTAGATTACATATTTTGAGAACTGTTAGCGATCTTTTAATAATTTACATAATCACAATCATATTTTTTATCTATTATTTAAACTATTTATTTAATCATGAATTAACTATCATAGTATTACAAAAATCATAAATAGATTTATAGTATTTATTTAAATTCTTATACTCTTCAAATGATTCTAATATTAAAATAAAGATTATATAAATATTTTTGTTCTTTAATTAAAAGTAATTCATAAAAAAAAAACATACTTTTATAAGTTATTGTTGCATATAAGAATATGCAATTAAGGAAATTATAGAAATTATAATCAGAGTAGTAATCATTTTGTTAATTTCAATTATCAGATAGTTTTTGTTGATGTAATTTTAAATTTACTTATTTATATTTAATTATTTATATATTTTATTTTTAAATAAAATTAAAGATAAAAATAAAATACATATAATTTTTTTTTTCAGTATTAAGATAACCTCTTTGGTCTGAGCTTGTTATTAATACTTATAACGAGTACATGTTTTATATAGATGGATCTATAATGAACTATTAGATGAGTATACAACTGGCTACACATGTAACTTTTCTATATTACCTATTTAAGGAGTCCGCCCTAGGGTTCCCTACCAGTTGCCGTACCTAACACCCCTGCTTAGATGTTCCATTTAAACCCTCTGATCTAACCCTAGTAT